TATTAACTGTTTAAGATAGATCAGTCATTATTCTACAGTAGTGAGTGAGAGCTAATCAGAGCATAAACGAGAAATGATGGTAAGAGGAAGATCCAGACAAAAAAAATAAACAGGACATGGAGCTGTAATAGAGAGACTAGGGTGTCAGAACCAGACAGGGCTGGAGAGATGGCTCAGTTATTAGGAACACTTTGGTTCCCAGCACCCATGTGTCAGCTCACAACTGTCCAGTGCCAGAGGACCTATGACCCCCTTCTTGATCTCTGAGAGAACTGCATGCACATGATGTGTGCACATACACACATGCTGGTGGACCTTCATACACATAATTTTTTAAACTAAAAATAGAGGCATTGAGCTGGGGAGTCTAAATGTATAGTCAGAGATGTGTATGGGAAAATTTGGGCAGAAGGGGAGACGCCAAACTCCTTCAATGCTTACATCTTACATAAAATGGCTTAGCATTTGCCTAGAGCCTAGCATGTCTTCTTAGAGGTTGTGTTTAGCTTACTTACAACTAATACTATGTAAATATGACATAAATAATTATACTGTATTATTTAATGAATGATGGAGGGCTGCATATATCCATTACAGATACATCCCCAAACACCGAGACTGACCATGTTGAACCCTTGAATACAGCAGATCTGCTCTGATGGACAGTGTGGTGATATTTTATCTATATACCCCAATAAAGTTTATCTAAGGATCAGAGGAAAAAGTCAGCCACTAAAGTGAACATAGAAGTCAGGCAATGGTAGCACACGATTTTAATCCTATCACTCGGAAGGCAGAGATCAGTCTAGATCTCTGTGAGTTCAAGGCCACACTGGGAACAGAGCCAGGCGTGGTGGTACATACCTTAAATTCCAACACTAGTTAACCATAAAGGTCTAGAGGTCTGTACAGATAGATAGGAAGTGACAGAGCTGGGCTGGAAGAGGAAGTGATGTAGCTGGGTGGAGAGGAAATGAGATGGCAGAACAGCAAGGCATATAGGCGTGGGTATACAGGAAGTAGGTCTCTTTGGAGGAGGATCTCCAAGCAGGTAAGAACATGACTGGCTTCTTCCTGCTTTTCTGATCTCTCAGCTATTCACCCCAATATCTGGTTCTGGGTTTTTTATTTAATAAGACCTTTTAAGATTCGTGTTACAGGAGAGAGAGAACATTCCAGAATGCACAGCATCATTCTTCTACACATTTCTTTCTTTTTTTTTGGTTTTTGGTTTTTGGTTTTTCGAGACAGGGTTTCTCTGTGTAGCATTTGCACCTTTCCTGGAACTCGCTTTGGAGACCAGGCTGGCCTCAAACTCGCAGAGATCCACCTGCCTCTGCCTCCTGAGTGCTGGGATTAAAGGCGTGCGCCACCAACGCCAAGCCTTCTACACATTTCAATAGGCTGTTCTAAACTCATGGCAGTTCTCTTGGTTCAGCTCCTGAGTGCTGAGATTACAGGCATGCTCAGCATTAAACAGCCTTTTTGAGTAATAAATGAATACCAGCTCCTACTTCACAGAAAAGCTAAAACCACATATAGCTTTTAGAAAGAAAACATTATAGCCCTTGATTTCATAGGATACAGAAAGTATTAACTTTGAAAATTGAACTTAAAATCTTACACTTCTGAGTGATTTCTAATCACCAAAATGTCATATTAAAGAAAATGAGTATGACCAGGCAGTGGTGGCCCATGCCTTTAACCTCAGCAATCAGGAAGTAGAGGCCAGCCTGGTCTACAGACCTAGTTCCAGAACAGCCAAGGCTACATACACAAAGAAACCCTGTCTCAAAAAACAAACAAAAACAAAGAAAATTAGTGTGTAGGGCGAGGAGTCACTACTTTAATCCCAGCATTGGGAGGCAGAGGTAGGCAGATCTCTACAATTTTGAGGCCAGTCTGGTCTACATAGCAAGTTCCAGGACAGCCATGACCACATAGAAAGACCTTGCCTCAAAAAAATAAGTAAATGGAAGGAAAGAAGGAAGGAAGATGGAGGAAGGGAAGGAGGGAGGGAGGGAGGATGTGGAGAGGGAAAGGGAGGTTTGGGGAGAGAAGGGAGAGGGAGGGACGGTGTGGAGAGAGGGAGGAGGAAGGGAGGATGTGGAGAGAGATAAAGGGAGGAAGGGAGGCAGGATGTGGAGAGGGAGGCAAGGAGGGTGTGGAGAGAGAGTGGGGAGGAAGGAAGGGAGAGTGTGTGCAAGAGTGTGCAAACCAGAGTCTGAGAGATTACAGTCACAAATACATATTTAAGAACTGGTATCCAAGTATGTAGTTTCTACAAATTAATGAGACAGAGCCCAATAAAAAGACATGCAATTGGTTCATAACCAAAGCCAAACCCCTACACATCACTCTTCATGAGGGAAATGCAAATTAAATTGCACCACTGTATACCACTAGAATGCTGAAATCTAAGGGGCTGACAGCACCAAATATTGGCGACCGTGAGACAACTAGTACTTCATCCCCCTGTAGTTAACAGAGCAAACTGAACCTGAACTGACCACTTTGGAAAACGGGCTAGCACTGGGTGAGTCGGACACATTTCACCAGGTGAGCAATGGTTCCGCTCAATAGTATCTACCCACTGCAAATACAAACATACACCTAAAAACAAAATCTTGCTAAAGAATGTTCAGAGCAGCTGAATATATATAAAATACCCCCAAACTAGAAACTGCTCAATCCCTGGCAAACGGACAAATAAGGTGTGGTGTATTCATAGAATAATGTTCAGCAACAAAACACAAGCCATCCATACATTCTAACAAGAGGAAGTCATGCTAAGTGAAAGGAACAGAACACAAGTGTACACAGTAAAATCTGTAAAGTGGCCTGCTCCCCAGTGCTGACAGGCTGAATGAGAGCAGGTAGAAATGAGGAAAAGAAAATTTCAAAACCTTTAGTTATGCAGGTCTATACATTTGTCAATGAACTGTACAAGGAACAATCGAAGCTCACTGTATGTGAATGGCAATCTAATAAAAAAAGAAAACTCTAAGGGCTGAATCAATGTTTTATTTCTGAAAACCTTTGATAGTCAAGGCAAAACCACAACTTTTTAAAAGGTTTAAAGGGGGGAAAATGGGCCAGCTATCACTTGAGCTGAAACCAAGGATTGTAAGTGTAAATGCCTGCTAGCTCTTAACCTCCGTTTTCACTAGGAATATTTAAATTTGGCTTTACTAGCACAGAACACAACACGCAGGACCTCGCTGGTAAACAGCAACTAGAAAACACGCACAAAACAAATCACTTTATTTGGCGCAGTCTACAGTGGACTAGGAACACCCATCCACTCTTACCCTTTTCCAGAAAACTCTTACACCGGACCATGAGGATAGTTGGGGGGGGGGGGTTGGGGAAGGAGGGGTGCCTGGTTTTTCCTCAGGCCTTAGACCCCAACGACTTTAGCCTTTTTAAATGTAAATTAAGGTTTTGGATAACCAAATTATATTTAAAGCTATAAGGAACTCAACTACTGAAGACATTTTCAACAGTATTGTGAAATAAAAAAGACTTTTGTGTAAAGATGGTGAGTACTGGACCCTGGTTTCCTGTCTATTTGGAAGCTATCTTGCAAAAGGCCTCATTTCCCATCACATATACCCCACAAAGGGCAGGCTCCTCAGGAAAGGAAGCGTGTGGAGAACGCTGCTTTTATCACCAGTACCGCCTGCTTGGCCACCTGCCAACCACGGGGCTCAAGTAGATTTATCTCCCCTGTAGATCATGTAGTGCATTTGCCTAATGCAATGCCCTAGATTTTACAAATTACATCCACCCAAGCGCTTGCCAGCCTGCCGGTCTGAACACTTCCAAGGAAGACACAGACATCTGCAGGCGACTGTCTGCCTTGACCATCCGCAAAAGCACTTCTCGAAGAGACTGCTCACTATACTCCAACTCTGATTTTAAATTTCTGTAAATTCCTTGGCTTTAAGAAAAGTCAAGGCTGAGCCAATGCACTAATGTTCAATCTGCATTCACACTGCACAGCCAGAACCCACACATATCAACAATCTGTTGGAAAGCTTTTAGGGCTAAAAATTTCTATTATGTAGCCATAATGAGCCCAACTAAAGGAAACTTGAGACTATAAATAGCCAATAACATCACAAGGGAGGGGAATGCTTTGCTTAAAATGGCACAAAGCAGTTTATAATTCGATATACTGTATACTTTTTAAACTATCAAATATTAAATATGAGCCACCAAAGGGAGGGCGGGGAGAAGACAAGTGCTGAGGGATATAAGAATGAATTCTAACTAAAACGTTATATACTTAACTACCACTTTCTAAGGCGCTTCATCTTGCAGTGTTATTCATTGCCAAGTAGCTCGGACCTAACTCCCAAAAATGATGTCACAAAATCCAAAATGCAGAGGAATCGACTCAAGGCTGGTGCAGTCCAGGGCTGCCAACCATCAACCAAGGGCAGCGTCACAGGGCAAGAATCCATCAGGCTTCCCGACCGCCCAAGAGAATCACCGCTTGTTCTCTACACAAATGAGACCTTAAAAGCGCCAATCTGAAAAGCCATTTTTAAAAACTGCATTTGCCCGCCGTGCCAGCTTAGAGGGATCACCTGTCCACGGGCAGGAACCTGAGTGGGTGTAAGATGGCTTCTCCAGGCCGACTGGGACACAGTCACACTGCGGTGCCTTCCCGGTGTAGAGGCTTTAAAACAAGCATGTGTAGGGAAAACCCACTCAAGACCGGCAAGAACTTCCCAACCATTTCTGCTCGGACGCGAACTCACGGCAGTGCCGCACCGGGGTGGACGTGCACGCCGCACATCCTGCAGGGCCCCGGGCCTCCTCCCCCGCCCCCGCCGCTGCAGATCGGCTCTCCCCGAGAATTAACTTTCTAATAATACAACTTTAGGCGGATGATCGCGGGCGGCCCCGAGGCCGAGGCCGAGCTGGAAGGACTCGGCGGCGCGGGGTGCGCGGCGCGCGGGGTGGCCCCCTCGGTGCCCGGCCGCGCTCACCAGGTACCAGACGCCCAGCAGGATGGTGCCGGTGCGGACATGGCAGCACAGGCAGCAGCTGTGGGAGTAGAACCGCGTCCAGGGCGCGACCATCTTCATCGCTCCGACGCGCGCACAAGTTTGCAAGAGCCTCGTCCGCTCGGGTCCCGGCCCCGCTGGCCCGGTCGGCTGCTGCGGCCCCTCTCCTTGGCCGCTCCGACGCCCGACCCGTTCGCCCGGCCCCTGGCTCCGCGCTGCCCGAGCTCCGAGCGGCGGCTGCGGCGGGACACTGAGCTCGAAGACCGCGGCGACGCGAGGGGGCGGGGGAGGCGAGGCTGGGTCACGTGGCCTGCCGGGGCTCGTGATGTCACCGCCGGCTCCAGCCAGCTGCGGGCGTCCGGAGCGCTGCGCAAGTAGACGCGTGGTTGTTGGACCCTCAGGGAGGCTCCGCAGCTTTCCTCCGGCAATGGGTGCAACTTTGCTTGGGATTCAGATTCATTCCAGCTGTGTCTGCCTCGAGTCTAGCTTGCGGATAATCGGTGGGTGCTGTGCCAGGACTGTAGTTATCTTGCAAACTGGAGGCAGGGAAGTGCGTGGTATGTGTGGTTCCAGTCAACTGCGGTACTTTGAACCACTGCGGAACCCGCTGAGAGCAATTTGTCTCAGCTTCCCAGCTCAATTACTCTGGTAGCAATCTTTTCCCAGAAAATAGGATGTGTGTCAAGGGCATCCTCACTGTGCTTCGGCAGCATTTTTAATAATGACTGAAGCTGTAAAGAAACAATTACTGCCGTGAGTTCTTTAAGACACAACACAACGTTGAGGGAGAGCCCAGAGGATGGGGGTGGGGGGACTTCCTCCAGCTGGCGTTTTGTCTTGAAGGCTTGCATCCACGGCTTAGCCTCTGACCACAGTGACAGCTAAGAATCTTGGATACGTGAGATTAAAAGTCCGTGTGAAAGTTTTATTTCAGACTTGGAACGAGAAATAAAACGGGTTCGATTTAAATTTAAGTACGTGTCAAATAAGATTGGTTAGTTTCACAAAGACATACACTTACCACATTCTTGGTGTATAGTTCAAACCCGGGTTCTCTCCCCCGAGATACCAAATGCACGTCCTTGAGTGGAGATGTTATTGTGGAAGGAATTGGAAAAGCTCAGTATTTGTTTCTTTTCTTCATAACGTTACAGATAATTTTCTCTTTGGGATCCTTACGGGCTTTTCCTCTCATGGCCGAGTGTTATCTTCGAATGCAAGAAAATATGAGTTCCAGCTTCAGGGTTGCAAAAATTTTAGTGTATGATTATGTCCACAGCCACTGGACAAGTATTAGTGCTCAAAAAAGGAATGGAAATATAGGATGAGGAATACTGCATTGAAACACGCTGAAAATTCACAACCTTGGTAAATTACCATAGTTATCTCTCTTTTCCTGCTGAAATTTCAGATTTATTAAGCATAGGACACATATTCAAGTGAATTTTATATTTCAGAAAATTTACTATTCAAGATAAGAAGTCACATTTGCCAAATTGCTATAGATTTTAAAATACAGACTAGAAGCTAGCTAAAGAGAGATGTGGGGGTAGAGGGGCAGCCTGGTCTTCATGGTAAGTTCCAGGACAGCCAGAACTATGTAGACCCTATCTCCAAAAACAAACAGCAACAAAAAGAACTGAAGCTTCCCCAGGAACTTAGATAGAGCTAGGTTACTCGCTTTTAGTTTTTGTTTGGGGCTTTCTGAGGACCCATGTTGGCTTCACTTCAGAACAGAAGTCACATTGTTGTTAAGTTACCACTCCCTATGGGATAAGTTTGTAGTTCTAGTTAAGAATATAAGCTCCTGGCCAGGGCTACACAGAGAAAACCTGTCTCGAAAACCTAAAAAAAAAAAAAAAAAAAAAAAAAGTTTGTTTCCTAAACCTGATGTGTCTTGCAAAATATGTTTTGAACCTACATTGAATTATGACTGCCCACCCCATGATGTATATTCTAGCTCTTTCATTGTATAGAATTCTTTTTATTCTAGCTCGTTGTATAGAATTCTTTTTTTTTTTTGAGACAAGAGTTTCTCAGTGTAACAGCCCTGGCTGTTCACTTTGTAAATCAGGCTGGCCTCAAACTCGGAGATCCCCCTGCCTCTGCCTCCAGAGTGCTGGGATGAAAGGTGTGCATGCCACCTGGCCAGAATTCTTGCTTTCCGTTGTAATTTTCTAACCACCAATGACCTCATCCCTGTAAACACACTTGTGTTGTGTTTTGTTGCTGTTCGTTTGTTTGTTTTCTCTCTAACCTTGTGGTTTTCTTCCCCATAAAGGGACCTTAAAAACCTAGCCCTGAAGTGCCCTCTCAATCCCAGTTTAGGGAGAGACAGCAGACTGGCCAGTGCCTGTGCACCTTTAAAAATAAAACTTGTTTCAATAGGTCACACGTGGAAGTGGTCTTTCTCCTTGTATCTGGAGGGGACAGTCCTTGGAGCTGAGTGTAGCTACCATTGCACAGCAAGAAATAGCCACTAATAACAACGAGCTCACAGTTTAACTGAGGAGAAGAGGAACACAGAGAAATTTTAAAAAAAGAGCATAAAAGCAGGCTAGGCACTTGTGTGTGTTGGAAGTCCACCCCAAAGCACAGGGGAGATCATGGAGGGCTTCCCAGAGGTGCTGAAGTTACTAGATACCCAGTCAGAACCTGGTATCTAGCAGCTCTAACTGTTGCTTTAAAAAATGATAAACCGCACTGGTTACCGTGCGGAAAGGCCATGAGGTACAAGCCACGACAAAACCCTATATCAGAGCTTAATTAGGAGGAGGGAGGGGACAAAAGAACCAGGCCTGGGGAAGAAGCACGTGGAGAGGGAGGGAGGGAGAGGGAGAGAGAGAAGGAGGAGAGAACAGAGAGAGGAGGGAGGAGTCTGTGTCTGGCTTTTTAAGGATTCCCCTGCACATGTGCAGGTGGGCTTACGGAGCTATGCCATGCATGTGCTGATTGCGTGACCGCACTGTGCGCATTTGTGCCATCATGAAGCGCACCGATGACGTAAGACACAAGACCCCTTGCTTAGCTGCTGAACTGCACTTGTGTGGTCCTGCAGCTGGAGTGGGCGCAGAATCCTAACACTAACAAGCTACGTTTGACCACCAGTCCTCAATAGGACAATTAAACCAACTAATACTAGTGAGAAGCATAAAAAGAAGATTTATTCAATGTGGCCACATTGGGAAGAGGGATAAAGAGGCCCAGTGGCACCCCCAAATCCATCTTTGGGGGCCTGAATGAAGGTTAGGTTTAAGTACAAGACAACTGAGGTATGTATAAGCAGGCGAGGTGTGGCCTCACCCAGCGTTGTCTTGCAAAGTGGCCTGACAAGTTGTATGAAATCTCTCTCAAGGAGACAAGTTCCTCCTCTGGCTGGCTCCAGTTTCAATCCTCTTCCTTCCCCCAGCAAGAGATTCCCAGGGAAATTCCAATTTGAAAGGGACCATTGTTTCAATAGTCTGATTGCCAGTGGGCACCAGTGTCTCTTTAGAATGCCTCAATTCCGCCAGGACAGCTACAGTGACAAGGAAATCCAGACCTGTCAGGTAAGTTTCAATTGGCCTGGGGAAGAGACAAAAGAACCAGGATGGAGCATGCTGTGAATATTGTGTTGCTCTCATTGGTTGATAATGAAGCTGTTTTGGTCTGTAGCAGGGCAAGATAAGGTTGGGCAGAACAATCAAACTGAGGACAGAGTTTGGAGATGCCAGCCAGCCGCCCAAGAACCAAGATGCCAGAGGACTGGTAAAGCCATGTGACAATGCATAGATTAATAGAAATAGGTTAACTTAAATGTAAGATCTAGTTAGTAAGTAATAAGCCCGAGCCATCAGCCAAATATTTATAATTAATATAAGCGTCTATGTGTTTATTTGGGACTGGGCGGTCAGGACAGAAAGGCTCCACCTCCGTTTACTTATGACAACCAGAGTAAGGCAACTCCACCCACACAAAACCTGAGAGAGCTTTAAAAAAAGGTTCTAAAACAGAGCCAAGAGCAGCTTCCTAGTCTTATGCCTCTCATACAGGCCATGATACAGAGAGACATCTCACGGCCACCACCTGTATGCTTGAGCAGCCAGCCTGAGCTATGCCCACGCACTATGCTGTGGGTTTGGGTTTTTCTCATACAGACAAAAAGGCCTCAGAACAGGTCACAATATGTTTAAAAAATGTCTGTAGGCTTGAAAGAGAGAAGAGAAAGAGTATATGCAGTCTGAGATTAAAAATATAGATTTAAGCCAGAGGCCAGCCTGGTCTATAGAGCAAGTTCCAGGACAGACTTCAAAGCTATACAGAGAAACCCTGTCTTGAAACCTGCCATATATATATATATATATATATATATTCTTATTTTCATCTTTATGTGGCTTATTTTCTTTATATTGTTTTAAAAGATATCCAATATAAAGAAAATAAGCCACATAAAGATGAAAATTATGTATATTATTGTGTCATAAAATTTTTAGCTGTTGCCGGGCGATGGTGGCGCATACCTTTAATACCAGCACTCGGGAGGCAGAGGCAGGTGGATCTCTGTGAGTTCGAGGCCAGCCTGGTCTCCAAAGCAAGTTCCAGGAAAGGCACAAAGCTACACAGAGAAACCCTGTCTCAAAAAACAAAACAAAACAAACAAACAAACAATTTAGCTGCTATGAAATATTTGATTACAAAAGCTGCTAGATTAAACCAACCTATATATTTTAAAAATATCTTGACTCCAAAATTTAAGTCAAAAGATATGTCCCTTTGGGGGAGAGGTTATGCTTTTGTTTACACAGGAAATGAGAGGCTATGGATTCATTTTGGGTTAAGGAAGATCAGGTTTGATCAAGGAGGACCCCCCCCCACCTTGAAATCCTAACTACAAACATGAGAAAATAAATCTAAAGTAACTACAAGACACATAATGAATATTTCACCTGTTCAAACATAAAACAAAAAATTACCTTTGTCTGGCTTGTATATAATGCATAGTTTATATTTGTATTAATATAGATGTATATGTTACCTTTAAAAGTTTATATATTTTCAGAACAAGGGGACCAGACACCATTGAAAATGGCCCAGATGATCCAACATCCAAAACAGCTTCAAGGTCACTGACTAAGATGATCCAGCCTCATAGAATATTCCAGCCTTAAAAATTATCCTGATTTTCTCGGGGTCCTTGAAGATTACCAGTGCCCCCAGTCAGCATAAAGTAGTTTAGAAAACTATGCCACATTCTCAAAAAATGGATTATGGATGTTTGTTTTTGTTTAGGGGGTTGATTA